CATCTATGCTGCCCGCCTTCATGAACCCGCGCTGACCTTCGTGGTGAAGTACGGACAGATATCCCGAGCAAACCCGCACGTTATGGGGAGGCCCTCATCCCAACAGTGGGCTGACAAACAGAATTGTAGGTGTACCTGTGGTCTGGCTCTGATTGGTGTGTTGGTAAATAGCTTGCGACAAATAGTGTGGTTCCAGAATTTGATTATTTGGTTCAGTGTTCATACTGGTCGTCATCATTATCCATAGTCTAAAAACTGCTGAATGAAAGCCTCCTAAAGCCGTTAAAATGAAATCATATCTCCTACGAAGAGGAGGAAGTTACAGATGTTACATTTTAAGACGTAACCACTGCCTTTCACAGCATGACAATGGAAAGCTCCTTGACCAAATTTGATCACTTTGAACGTCAGCAAAGAATCGGAACCAGTTCCGGGAACAAAATGAGCAGATTGCATGCACACTGAAAATATTTTCTCAGATTGCTCTCGTAAGACAAATGACATAACTACCGTACTGTAGGTTCTTTATCGCCGGACTCTTGTTGTATGAACTACAATATATCGCGATGTTTGTCCTCATTGCATCATTTGTTGTCACTGAAAAGTATTTCTGGACTCCACGCTGTAATTTTGGACCACCCTCATTGGGGTGGAGGGGTGGAGGGCTCCTAATTTTTCCCACAATACAATTTCCTGTTCACATTGACGACTTCCCCCAAACCCAGGCCGACCACCGCCACCACCACAACTGCTACACATTATCTAACCTCTTCCTCCTGCTGACCTCATAAGCAGGACCACCCCTTTTCCTTTCGACGAACATCGTGACCAAAATAGACACTTCACCCGCTCCCCACCCTCTCCTCGGGTGCAGCTACTCTGGGTGTTGTGGGTGTCCGGACATCCACAAAATGTTTGGAGGCGCAACGGTGGCGAGCTGTTAACTACCTCGCTTGGTATGCAGGAGGTCGTCGGTTTCGATACCGACCCTAACGCCTGCTGTATGTTTGGAGTTTGCATGTTCTGCCCGTGGTCACGTGGATTTTTCTCCGGGTCCTCCGGTGTTTCCTCCATATTTGGAAACATTCGTTGAGAGTATTTTTGTTGCTATAGATTTCCACGTGATAAGCCACTTCGTTGAGCTATCATTTGTGGCCAGGTCGCTTCTGAAAAAAGCAAAAGGCTCAGTGGGCCTTATCTGGCAAAATAAAAAATAGTACAAAAATAGCCATTTAATTCAAATTTGTATTATTTTCCGTTGTGTTTACTACCTCAGTTGTATTGTTTATTCTGTGTCATTTGCACTCACTCTTGTTCGTCCCATTGCCCTGAATGTAACATTAGTGTATCTATAGATTATATAAAAAGTAATTGATTCTCAATACGAATGATTCGATTCGTGTGCCTTGTGAAAGAATAATTTATTGTAATCAATTCATTGCCACAACATCACATGCCTAAATAACATTTCACGTAAGGGACATATTGACACGAGTTCTATCTTTATCTTGCCTGTGCTCTCTGATCCACGTGTTTCTCTTTAAGTTTGTCTCTCAGTGCAATCCCAGGCCTGCATTCAGTAGAAAATACATTTAGGCTGATAATTATGAGGAATTCTCTGCAGGAGCTGTGAATTATTATCATTTACTGTGTATCTGTATGTATATAAAAAAAAAAAACCTTGTCGTCTTGTTAACTCCCAGGAGCAACAACACTTCACTGACACATCCACCACCACGACTGGAATCAATAAATGAACAATACACTCTGCGTACTAGGTGTATAGATATTTAAAATTGACTTTATTCCCCCGGAATAAATAAATGATAAACTCACTGCTATCTATAGCAGTGATGGTACAACCGTTGCGTGTGTTCTGCTAACCCTCAACCACGCAGAGGCGCCACCACCAGAGACCTCACAAGCGACCCCACCGCAACCACCATCAGCCAAGCTCTATCCACTTCTCGACAGTGGTCGTCATCTCTCTCTCTCTCTCGGGTTCGTGATGCAACAATCGATTACCCTCCCACACCTCCCTCCACAAAGACAGACAAATACAAAGATCTCCCGTGTAGCCCAAACGGACTGTTGGGGCAAGTGCTGTTCGCGAGCGCCTACGAAGGCCGGCACGGCGCACGAGGGGGTGGGTGGCCTGCACCACTCCCGGCCGCCTTTGTCTCCCTCGTGATTTTGTTTACACACGCGGATAATTGGAATTAATTGCACGAACAACCCCGCGGATAACGGGATCTGCGGTATTCACTCTCCCCCCCCCCCGCCCGCCCACATCACCGCGGGCTACAGGAGTTGTCCTGTTACACACTTTGCGTGTGCGCGCCACGCACGGTGTGTCAAACCACGTCCTGCCCACCCACATCATTGATACAATTTGCACTGAGAATCTGACAGCCATGTCCTACCAGCACCACCGTTCTCCCCAGGGCCCCCCCCCCCCTCGCCACAACCATCCCGATTACACCACCACCCCCCACTCTCTTCACCACCATCTAGCCCTGACCCCGCATCCTTCCCACGCGCGTGCGCGTGTGGGGTGTGCGCGCGTGTCCCTGGGGGAGCGGTGGCGCAGTCGTTCGCGCACAGAGCCACGGACATCCTGGGGTTTGTTTCCCGACCACCGCTAACCCATCGCTGGGGAGTGGGTATCGGAACCGTCCGTGGGCTCCCCCTAGGTCGACTCAGCCATTTAAAACGAGTGCCTGTTGTGCTCTTTGGTTCTTTCGGTAAAGTCACGTAGAGAATAAAATCAAATAATAATAGACGTTTCGGCTGCAACACGAGCAGCCATCGTCAGGTGTGAATGAATGATAAAACACAGGCACGGAAACAACATAGGCAGACACACGTGCAGAGACACGCCGAGTGAGACTGCATCAGCATCGGCCCTCTCGTGCGTGGCGTCTGCCAGCCTAAATAGGTGCTCGCTAACAGCACTTGCTTGTCCCACCACTCTATGGGCAGGCTATACGGGGGATCTTTGTCTTTGTGCGTTCACGAATGTGTCCCTTTGGCGAGCCAGTGACGCGCCATTCCCTCCACAGTAAACATATTCATTTAATTTGCCATAAATAAAAAATCAATGCCATTGTAATGGCTTGCAGCACTTAAGAGCATTGCATATACAGCAGCTCTTGTCATAGACTCACGCTTGCATTAAATGCACACGCACTGACAGATGAATCATTACATTACACCAATGCGCGATAAACTCCAAACTCATCGAAGCAGAACTCAATTCCCGTCTCTCCGCATGTAGACAGCCAATACGTTTTAGTCCACCACGTTGGTGCGCGGAACCTTCAACACTGGTGACGATTTAGCTGCACCGGTCGTGGGCTTTCCCCTCCTAGGTCGACTCGGCCTCAAGTGAGTACCCGCTGCGGTGTGGAGTAAACATCGCCACTGGGGAGACAAAGACGGCCGGGCGTGGTTTGCTGGCCACCCACCCACCACCCACCCCTTCGTGTGCCGTGCCGGCCTTCATAGTTGCTCGCTAACAGCACTTGCCCCAAACAGTCTGTTAAAATCTTGATTTAAAGCTTTCGTGACTGCAAGAATCCATACTCTTTGGTTCTTTCGGTAAAGTCACGTAGTTGGAAATAAATTATTTTATGTAAAGTTTGTTAAAAGGCTACACGGGGGGTATGGGTGGGGGGGGTGAAATCTTTGTCTTTGCGTGCCCGAATGCATCGGAGCGTGTGCGCACGTGTCTCTCTGTACGTGCTCGTATGTCCTTGTCTGCGTGAGTCGTGACGTATTGACCGGAGGAGACTTTGCACGTGGGCCGAGTCTGGTGCCTGTGCGCGTATTCATTTGAGCGGTGGTGCAGCGGCGAGCGCGCTGCGTTGCGAACCCTCGCGGACCTGAGTTCGATTCAACACCAGCGGCGATTATCTGAGCCACTCATGGGGTCTCTGCGTGGTCCGTTCATCCTCGAATGAATATCTGGTGCGGTGCGTAAACATCGCACCACCGGGGAGACAAAGGGGACCGGGAGTGGTTCTCTGGCCACCCATCACCCCTTCGTGTCCTCTGGCCACCCACCGCCCCTTCGTGTGCCGTGCCGGCCTTCATAGGTGCTCGCTAACAGCACTTGCCCCAACAGTCTGTTGAGGCTACACGGGGGCGGGATCTTTGTCTCTGTGTTTGTCCAGTTTGGGGAGCGGTAGTGTCGCGTGTTGCGCTACGAACCCGCCGACCCGAGTTGGATTCTCGCTTGCGGTCAACATCGGTGACGAATACTGTTTCTGAACCGTTCCTGTCCACGCCTAGGTCGACTCAGCCTTAAATGAGTACCTGGTGCGGTGATGTAAGCACTGGGAAGTGCAATCGGAACTGTGGAGACAAAGAGAGCTGGCTGAGCCTTGTGTTGACCACCAACCCCCTTAGGTGCTCGCTCACATCACTTGCCTGTGAAGGCTGCACGGGAAGGCATTGTACACACATCCACGTGTGTACACACATCTACGTGTGTGTGTGCACATCCACGTGTGTGCACATCCACGTGTGTGCACATCCACGTGTGCGTACACACATCCACGTGTGTGTACACACATCCACGTGTGTGCACATCCACGTGTGCGTACACACATCCACGTGTGTGTGCGGTGTGCGTCCGTAATCCCTGTGCGCGTGACAATGCCCACGGCGTGTGTACGCGTCCACGTGTGTGTCAATCCGTGCGTGTGCGTCCACGTGTGTGTCAATCCGTGCGTGTGCGCGTCCACGTGCACGCGCCGCGTGTTCCCATCCTCTTTATTCTTTTCCCCAACGTCAGCGCGGCCCGCGGGTGTTCCGGTGGGAATGCTTCCCTTCCTGTTTATTACTGCGTGAACGCTGGGCTCCTATTCCTCCTCCTCCCCCTGCTCTTCCACACACGCGCGCACGCACGCGCACACACACGCGCGCACGCACGCGCACACACACACAGGCGCACACGCGCGCACGCACACGCACGCGCGCACACACACCTGGCCACATCCCTCTCTCCATCTCTCCCCGTCTCGCCCGGCTCTCTCTCACCCCCCCACCACCACCAGCAGCAGCTCTCCCAGCTCACGCCTCTTCTCTCTCTCATTCTGTGTTCTCCCTGCCTCTCGTGCCCACACGTGCTGCTGCTGCTGCTGCGCCTGCTGCTGACGGGTCATCCTCATCGTCGTGCTGCTGCTGCTGCTGGTGTTTTTGTCGCCGCCGACGCCACCGCTACTGACGGGCACGATGTCTCATCCGGAGAAACGGACTGCGGGAAGGTTCTAAGATCTCGGGAGAGGCGTCGAGCGCTGGCAACGCGTGCGCTCCCGGGCTAAATAGCAGCAGCGGTAGCAGCGGCGTTGATTGTTAGCGGGGTGGGAGCAGGCGGGGAGGTCTGCATGCATGGTCGGGGTTGCCTGCCCTTGCTATCCGACGAGCGTGCGTCGGGGTGGTGGTGGGGACCACCCAAACTGTCGCAAGGTTCGGAGTTAACCGAACCCGCCTCCGAAACACATCTCGTTGTTATCGGCCTTGATCTCGCATCAGCTCGGGACGACTCTCGACCGGCCATACCTTCCACCTTGCCGTCTCTTCTCTGGCTGGGATCGTCTCCATCGCCTCGTCCGCTTCTCTGCAGCTGCCTCGAAACGGCCTCCTCCGTCTGCACCTCCTCATCCTCCCTACCCGGGCCCCTCAATAACCCGGCGGGTGTCGGCTCCCCACCATGCCCCCAAGCCCTGCCTGCCCGACCCTGCCTGGACCCGGCAGCAGCGGCGGCGGCACTCAGGACCCCCATGGGCCAGATCCCCAACATCACCTCCACCACCATCACCATCTTCACAGCCATCACCTCCACGCCACCGGCACCGTGCTGCCCAGTGGCACCCGGGTGGAGACGAGTAGCCTGGCATGGGTGCGGGAGCAGCGCTCCAGGGCTCGGCTCATGCTCATCCTCGGAGTGGCTCAGATGGTCCTCGGGGCTCTCATTGTTACCGTGAGCTTCGCTGCCTTGGCCCTCACCAGCTCGGCCCGCATCCGCCACTCGTGCCCTTTCTGGGCTGGCTTCTCGGTAAGTTCTCGCGGTCGCTTTTGGCGAGTGGCTGCACTTACTAAAACCTGCTATTGTACTATCGCTGCTCGGATGAATCAGAATATTTACTTGTCCTGGAGAGGAATCCGATGAGCTATAAAGCTCTTGTCGAGTAATCCCGTGATTATCATCGTCACGATCACCATTAAACTGTTTTGTCAGATTCAACCCAATGCTACTCCCTGCCATTCCATACCGTTAGCATCGTCGTCGTCGTCATCATCAACTGCTGTGCTTGCAATTTCAACAGCTCACTGAGATACCAGATCTCTGCTTGTTAGGGTATTATTGGTCAGGCACAAGGTAAGCCATTCGTACGGCGTTAATAATGCATAATTGTAATCACAATTTGACGTACAGACAAATATTGAAAGACGGCTGCGACAGCAGAAACATCACCGAGACAACCAGGTCCGATCCTTGCTGGCACACAGATCTCGGAAAACGATTTTTTTTGTAGGGGGAGCAGAAAAAACGCTTGTGGTTAGAACAAATACAACTCGGGGAGAACAATGCAATTCCGTAAACAAAAAGGAGGTGGCGATTTTAGCAGCACAGGGCCACTCCCGTGGTGTGTTATCTCTTCTGGACGGTCCTCTCAATCTGTAAGCTGTGGTCGTGAGCACCCATCCACAGGGCCCACTCGTACGCCCCTTAAGGCTGCCTCCACTCAGCTTGTTTCATGAGGACACCCCCCCCCCCCCCTTTCTTAGAGTGGCCTCTCTGTACACAGATCCCGTTGCCGGATAAAAGCCGGATCTCGCGTGACACGTCCGTCCTTGGGTTCTCTGTGGGGCACTTGAAGGCCATGTACAATACAGTAGTTGATGCTCGGATTGTTTTGTGTAGAGAATGTTAGCTGGTAAGGTAAGAGCCAAGGTTACATCTGTAAAACACATGCGATATTAAATTACGGTACGTTTCATATTAAACTATGTCATTAAACAAATGTTCCAGCCATTTGCAATCCACCAATGGATGAAGGCCTTCCCACTCCATGCCAGCTATTGAGTGTAATTTATTTTCCCCCAGACTTCACCTCGCTGGTCAGTGTGGTTTTGTAAAGGTGGGGCAGGGCATGGAACCAGAACCGATTTCCGATATCACTCGTCAATGGGACATCAATTGCCACTGTGGCCAGGATTCGAACTCGGGTAGCCGGGTTCAAATAGCGCAGCGTATAACTACTGTAACCACCCACCGCTCCTCCACCCTTTCAATTCTATATTGCACTGCCTCATTGTGCTTGCATAGGATTCCACAGCCCATTTGTTGTGTGCTGTGATCACCCATGCAACAAAAGAGCCGCTATAATACGTTTCATATTTTTTTTTTCAGGCGCTCAAACAATTTGCAGGCTTTGTGGTCCCACTTAAAAATGTATCTGCCGTGACATCACATTGTGTTCAGAGAGGCCGCTGTGACAACATCCTTTGAGGCTGATGCACAGGGGTAGCTCGCATTAAAAGCCAAAACGTGATGCATTAATCATCGTGGCTCGGTCCCACGTGCTTCAGCAGCTGAGTCTGCCAAGAGTGAAGCAATCATTTCACGCCATGCGGTGTCTATAGAAATGTGGCCACGTTATAACCCACGTTGACATTAGACCGGCGTTAAGCGCTTGACCATAGGCACCGTGGTTATTCATTTTTAATAATGCTGACAATACCGCAGGCAACGGCGGTGGGTTGACAAAAGGGACGCGCATTGCTTTTGTTGCATGGCAGACACACCACTGGGGTATATGTCAAGTGTTGCTGTGCATATCACGCACGCAGAAGTCATCCTATTTACACAGTTTTTGTGTGCGCAAAGACCGGACAAGGGTATAAGGGGCCGTGATGCTGCCAAAACCATTAGCATCATTGCTGAATAGCACACAAAGGGCTTCATAGCAGATGTTGGTGCAGCACTGCATTCTATTATCAACGCCACGCTGATTATGGACACGTTACATTGGGAAAGCCAATGTGTAAATGCACGTACGGTATTTAACATTCACTGACCAGTGTCATGTGTGAACAGGGCCTTATATTTAGCCGCCAGCCAGAGCAGTCCGGGGCTGAGCTGCAGAAAATGCAACCAACCTCCCTCCCCTCCCAGCTGTCAAAGGATGGGGGGAGTTACGGGGGGTAAGCACTTGGGGGGGGGGGGCAGAATATATTCCTTGAGAAATGAAGCCTTAAGCCGCGTGTTTGAGTGTGACAGGGTATGAAGTCGAGTGTTTCTGAGCTGTGAGTGATCTATCCTATTGGTGTCCTTTGTAGGGTGTGAAAGGCGAGGTCGACTCGACACCATATTTCCTCTTTTGCCAAACGTGGCTTTTTTTTGTTTGTCTGTTACCAACGCTGCCGACCTTCGTGGGTGCTGGGTGTCCAGGGCTGCCACGGATAATTCCGGTCAGATCAGTGTCCCATTGACAATGGATGGGACTTGAATACAAACGAAAACAAATTAAATAAAAACACCCGTCCATAACATTCACAATCCAGTGAGCACATAGTAACTTGCAATAATTATGTGTGGACTTTAATGTACAGCCTACGTGTCAATCCCATTGCCGGGTGATCTGGGCCACCCTGTCCGCTGTGCACACAGCGTTACTTGTATGTATGTAGCACTTCTTTCGCACCGTACGCAGCCGACCTTGCGAATCAGAGGTGTGGACCATATTTTACCATACTTCACCACGCTGGTCAGTACGAGTGGGGTGAAGTTTGGGGTGTGGGGGTTGGGGTAGTATAGAACAACAATGGAATTTACTGCGCTGCCCCTCTACTGCCCATGGTTCCAACCAAAGATGACATCTGTGCGTGGTGGTTACCCATCCATGCGCTGCTCCGGACTGAAACCCTTGTTAGTTTTTACGAGGCCTGATGGGATCTGGTGCATACCACCGAGTGATCTGTTCCTAGACGGCTGGAGGAGTGTGTGTGTGTGTGTGCGTTGTGTGTAATGATGGATGCAAGTTTGCGTGGTGATATCCGAAAACAGGAAATCCCGACTCTTCCGTTCGTGTGTTTACATCCCCCCCCCCCCCCACCAGTTAAGGAGGACTTGTACAAAGACAATAGTGGTGTGTGACGTCCCTTAAAACTATCAAGTATTCTTTGTGCAAGAGCTAAGTTGAACTTCGACACGTTATTATGGTTATAATTATATGAAGAAGTTACAGCCCTTTGTCTAGAACACTGCCGTTGTGTATGCTCATTGGTTTTTGCCATGCCGTAACAGGGCACAGTAAATAAACATTGGGGGAGTGGTGGCACAGTTGTTAGCGTACTGCGCTAATTAACATCAGTGGTAAATGTTGTCTAAACCCGTCATGGGCCCCCCCTCCCCCTCTTTCAACCAACCCCATTGATGAGCATGGTGACGTGCGGTCAGCTATTTCCCTTAACTGATGTTGCGTGAGGAAGCTTTGATCCAACAGTGGATTGACAAAGGTCTGTTCATTATTTTCTTTTATTCAATATGCCACAACATGTGCTGTGTGCTGTGGCTATACTGTGCTTGACATTACCATTTCCTATTACTAGATATATGTTGGCATAGGGTCATCTTTAAACGTATAATTATTACAGTGTGACATTCATTTTAGTCATTGAGCTTCGTGCCATAGGAATGTGGAATTTCCACCATTAGCTTAGCATAAGCAATGGAGACGAGCACTTTCCCCGGCTCATTTTGGCAGTGGTATGACATTTCACGACCATATTTCAGGCCATCCGCAAACACAGTGTTGCACACTACGAGAGACACAATTCGTCATCATTGTGATCACTCTCACTTTGGCTCTGTGTGTATATGGAGGACCCACCTGCTGTTCTCTCTCCGACGCTCTGTGTCCTGCCAGGGTCTCCACGGTGGCGAGATGTTAACTCCCTCGCCTGGTATGCAGGAGGCCGTGGGTTTGATCCCGACCCTGACACCTGTATATTTAGAGTTTGCATGTTCTCCCCGTGGTCGTGTTGATTTTTCTTGGGGTCCTGGGTTTTCCCTCCACATTTATAATCAACATGCGTTAAGAGTATTTGGCTACTATGCATTTCCACGTGATAAGGCACTTAATTGGGCTATCATTTGTGGCCAGATCGCTTCTGAAAAAGAGGTAATAGCTCAATAGACCTTACCTGGTAAAATAAATAAAAAGTGTAATAGTTTGTTCGATGGAGATTTCAAAACCGAGTTTCCAGATGTCTTAATGAGAAGGTCATCCAGCTTGTTGATCTGGTTACCTAGCCTAGATTGTGAATGTTTTACATTTAATTGTCTCATTAAGTTTCAGAAATCAATCGCATTCCCATGGTCCATTAAATTAGACTGTGATTAAAATCTATAAATTGCTTAATTAAATAATAACAACAGACAGACCGTTAATTGTTTTTTTACCCTTTTATCTGGCAACAAAACTGACACCTTTTTTTACAAGGAGTCATGTTTGCATAGACCACAATACCTGCAGTCGTAATGCAAACAAAAACATAACTCTGGTAATGTATGCACTGTCCTTGAAGTTGATTGGTCCACACCCGAGACAGCTTTCCTTAGAGCCTAGCCTTACATGGTGTTGGACCAGATGACGCCAAAAGGCACACAACTCAAAGACAATGCACCATCAGAATATGAGAGTTGTTTGCTTTACGACTGCAGGTATTGTGGTCTATGCAAACGTGACTCATTGTAAAAAAGGTGTCAGTTTTGTTACCAGATAAAAGGGTTAAAAAACAATTATCATTTTTTTTCTTCTAGCAAATGAGGTTCCAATGGAACAGACAGACCGTTTGTCAATCCACTGCTGGTTGTCGCGGATTAATTGACAATTTAATCGTTTTATTTCCTGAAATTTTGAATCTGATTGAGAGTAGAGTTATTGCCTTAATACAAGTTCAGTCTTAACGTGCTGTGATCTGTTATAGAGATTAAATGTATTTTTAATCCATTGTGTATGTATGAAAATGTTTGATCGCGTTACAATA